GATGGAGACTCCCTTTTTACAAGGAGTCACATGGTGAGGACAAGGGGTAAACAAGACAAGTTACTCCCAGGGAGGTTCCGATTGGACACGAGAGGTAAATTTTTCACAATGAGAACAGTCAATTGATAATCTCCCCAGGGAAGTGGTTGACTCCGCTACGTTGAACACATTTAAGACTCAGCTGGGCATGGTGCTGGGCCATCTTGTCTAGACTGTGCTAGAAAGGTTGGACCAGATGATCCTCGAGGTCCCTTCCAACCTGGTATTCTATGATATTTTTATCCCTTGTTTTTCTTCCTAGTGACAGCGTGAACGAATAGTTATTCACATCTTTCTTTTAGCTAAGTATCTTAGGAAACTGTGACCAAAAGGGATGGTAGCATAAATATTGTGTGCACGGTATATTCTCCATGCCTGTTCAAAAACCCGTGGAAAAAAATGGGCAGAAATAAATACCTAACGCCTCCACTGGCAGTGTCGGAGCAGGCAGGCAGGAGCCTGGGGGTGGACCCCAGGAGCCTGGAGCAGCTGGTCCCCCCCGCCACAGCCGGGTCAGCCATGTTGAGCACCGGCTCCTCTGGGCCTCCTGTCCCCCTGGCACTGGTCCTCCCCAGCAGCCAGCTGCTGGGCTCTGCCCTCGCCTCCTGTGTCAGGTCGGGGTGGGGTGTCTGCTGGGGATGGCAGTCTGCTGTGAGTGACACCTGGCTCGCAAGAGACAAGGTGTCCCGCAGGGCCGGGAGGAGTGTGAGGCTGTCTGGGGATTGAAGATGCAGAAGCTGTGCCTGGGAACAGCTGGATGAATTACACTTGAGAGGGATGGGGAGATACCAAGGGCCCTGGTGAGGCCACTAACCTGCACGTAATGGCTCACCGCTGGTGAGGCACCCCTGTGCTTGCTCTGTCAGGCAGCACACAGGCCTGGCACATTTTGTGCTGGAACTCCAGTAAAACGCCAGAAAAAAATCCCTGTGACAGGGAGAGGCAGGAGGAGCAGGCAAGTTGCACAAAGCCCTACACTCAGAGACGTTTGACTATGTGCTATAGCATCATACTCTGACCATTTCTTCATCATGTGAGCAGGAGGCTCCAAAATGCCTCCCCCCACGTATTACCTGAGGCGAGGGCTCATAGCCTCTCACAAAGGCATCTGAGGGGTTTAGAGCAGAGACTGAGAAGTCCCCGAATGGCAAGGGTAGGAATCCTCTAGCCCACACAAAACCTCTGAGGTGATCCCGATGCTTGCCATGCTCAAATGTCTGTAGCTCTGGCTCTGTTCACGTAGTTGCTCAGCCAGTTAGAGTTCAGTTTCAGAAAGTGGCTTCCCTCCAGCGAAGCTCAAGGGAGCAAATTCAGGCAAACACTCCTATGGAAATAGGTCCATGATGGTTGTAAGTGTCTGAGGAGAGCAAGCCCTGGCTGGTCTGACCTACTGAGATGCTTCTGCCTCCCCTCCTATCTCTGCCCTAGCATGGGAGAAAAGGTGTGTTTGCTCAAGTCACCCTTGCTTAGGCTTGTGTGTCTCCCTCCATTCATGGCTAGCAGAGAGAAATCAGTGCTAACAGGGAGCCTAGTGCTCTCTTGCACAGTTGCTATGGTGCTGCGGGCTCCTACTGCCTACCTGTTGCCTTTTCCAGATCTGTCAAGGGAGAGGGATCAGTGCAAACGTGGCTGTGACACAAGTCAGTGGTGCTTGGTCGTGGGCACTGCTGAACTGTGCGCCAAGGCCTTTGGTATGAGACCTACCAGTCAAACAGGAGAACATTAAATACTTGAAGGCATTTTCAAAGCAGACACCTGGCACCTACTTGCTGCCCTGCTCTTTTTGTGCAAGCCGCTGGCAATGGCTAGGAGCCCTGCAGTTGTCAGCTGTATCGCAGTGTTATTTTATACGCAAGAATATTCACAACGTCCTGTTGCTTTGAACTCGGTCGAAACAGCAGGCTGTTCCTTTGCTCAGAAATGTAGCTTTGTTCTCCCTGCTTAGCTATTCTCTTATGCATCAAGACACAAATCCAACATCCACTGAAGGTAGTGGAAAGACATGGATGGTTTTCAGTGGGAGTTAGATCAGTGTTCAGATAGATAAATACACAATTCAGTAAGGCAGGCTTTAACTGCTTCTCTCATTAGTAATACAAACATTAGTTTACTCAACAGAGAGATTTGATCTTTATTTTTAAATTATTTCCAAGTTCAGAAAAGATTTAAACTGTGTGCCCAATCAAGAGTTTGTATCTTCTATTGCGGGAAAAGGCTCAGACAGTTACTGTGCCAAAAAGTATGAAATTGTGGGTTTCAGCAGATCCTCCTAACAGAGGCAATAATTAAAGTTGTTGTGAATACTGTATAAGGAGAAATCCATGCATTTTTTCTGAGATTGCCTTCCACTGCTTGTACACAGTGTTTGGCCTCTTCCAACAAGCATCCTAGAAAGACTCAGAATGTTACTCCCGCGGGTCTAATGGGGTCAGCCAGGCAACACAACCGCCCCTTGACAAAGCACATACCAGACTACCTACCTACCTTTCATACCCACCCTGCCCCGTGAGGTGGACGTGGAAAAGTTACCTGCTCTGGGCTTCAACTCTCGGATGTGCCCCAAGTAAAGCTGACAGGCAAGACAGCATCACTTCTCAGCCCACCAGTTAAACTACACTGTGCCACAGCTTCATCGCGAACCTTTGATTCTAGGAAGTTTTTCTAAGTCGACTGCTATTAGTAATAGCCCTCTTGTTTCTTGTTGCTGTTTTCAAGGTATCTTTGCTGTATAGTTGATTTGAGAGGCTAGCAATCACGTCTGACACACAGATGAGCCAGGCAGGAGCACATGAGTGGTCCTACTACAAAAAGGCACCTGTCCTGATGCTGTGCTTCTCTCTCTGTATCGCAAGGGCTTATCGGGCTTTGTGCTGCAGGGAGCCAAGATCCTCCCCCAGGAAACAGTGGAAGAAATGGCATTGGTTGCGGACAGACCATCGCTTGTCCTTCTGAAACTACGGGAAGGCACTGGGAGACTGTTAGCACTTGAGTAACTTCACTGCAAGGGAAGGCAAATTACTCTAACTTAGTGGAACAGTCTGTATGGAGATATATATGCATACACACACCAGTTATTATTCCAAGCCTGGCCAGGTAGCCTTAGCTTGAAGTACCGAAGAGGCAAAATTCAGTGAACAGCCTGGGTTAACTGGGTGGTGAGAAGGTACCCTCAGATCTCTTACTTCTATTTGCCAGGTTGTTGGAGAATTTTGAACCAGCTGAGTAAAGTTTCTCTGTTTCCTAAGTTTTTTTTCTCTTTTTCCTGTTTTTCTGCTGTTCTTTCTGGGCAACACAGGGTGATTTTCAGGTTTTCTTCTCTATTGCTAGTAGAGTTTTTTCACAAAACCTGCTAATTTGGCCAGGCCTGGAGCTGGGCTGAAAGAACAGGCTCTTTCTGATGGGCTGCCTTACTCAGCCCCTCAGGTGGGATCCCAGCTGCTCAGGAAACGAGATGAGCTCTTGCTCCTCCCCTTAGTGATTTAGTACAAGTCTGGCAAGAGAAGAGGAAACAGGAAAGCTTTTCTTCTTCCTGAGAGTGATAGGGAGACCTACCATGAGACTGTAAAAATAGGGACTACCTTTTTGTCTGTTCTGTAGCGCCTGGCCTGTGATTTAACAGAAGGGTGGTCCTGTGCTGGAGCTGAATGTCCTTGGCTCGGAAGGTGGAAAGGAGAAGGTGTCACCTGTAGCTGGAGGTAAGAAAGTAAAAAGCCCGGGTAGGAGCACAGGTGAACGTGGTGCGGGATTGATGGGGCAGGGGGGTGGGTAGAGCCTGTGGCCCAAATGGAAGCGGGGATGGACTTGTTTTGAGATGAACTAGAATGGAGCGGCAGGGCTGATAGCAGGGAGAGCACGAATGGCACAGTTGCTTTACTTCTTGCTTTTGGAAGAGCTGGCTGTAGTAAATGTTGCATGCACATGGGAGGTAGGGCAAGGGGGATTCCAAAGTCAAAAGACTGACCAAACGCATCACGCTGTGACAGAAACAGTCATCTCCTTTTATGTGGACAACGCGCTTGTGCTTTGTGTATCTCGGTCCATTAGCTGTTTTCTCCGTTGTAGTTTCAGTACTTGTTCTGTCCTTCCTTTGTATGCTTAATGCTTGTCAAATAGATGCTCTTGGGGCCTGCTGTCACCTTGCTATGTGATGCTCTCACCTCTTTGCCAGTTGGTCTGCGCCGTAAGTTAAAAGTCTTTGTTCTTACTCCTAGGGTCCCACCATGTTCTGCTGCCCCAAATCCCGGCTGGTCACAGCTTTTTCCCTGTACTCTCCTGCTTTTGTGCCTTCCTGTGTGTATACAATGCCTTCCCAACCTCCTCTTTCCTGCTCCCTAGGGAAAGGGAATCTTTTTATGGAGTCATCCAAGAAGTGAGCTAAATTTAATAATAAAAAAGTAAATTTGATAGAATCATGATAATGTGTATGTGCTCAAACTTAATGACTGTCTGGTTACTAATTTGCATCATCCTGGCTCTTCTCATTTGTTTTGTTACTTTCAATTAGTGTGTAACAATTAAGATTAGATACCATTTTCCCAGGTGAGATGATAGGTAGCAGCAAGACTCAGCTGTGCCCCATGATAAATCATTTATTTATGCCCCAAAAAAGGACAGCTGCAGGGAGCAGAGGAGTTCTTAATTTTTGCAAGACAGCTTAGATCCAGATGACTTCATTGATGCTGTTGTAAGTTATCAGACTTGATGACCGAGTCCTCGGTATAATTGTTTGTGCAGTTATTTCCTTCAGCAGTGCCCCTGGCTCACCATCTAAAGGTGAGGGCTGAGGGGTGTCTGTACCTCCTTGACTTTCAAAACTTGGGCACTCCTTTTCAGTCTGTTTCCCTGTAGTCTGGTGGGGCAGTTGCTGGAAAAAATGTGATGTGTTGGGGCATTTTGTTCAGTTCCTGTTCCCTAACCTAGAACAAAACAACAGAAACAGAGATGTTTTGTAATGAGGGATGGAAGTAGATACATGTCAAACACATGCAGCAGTTCTTTCTATCTTTCTACCCAAATGTGATCAGAACGTCACTCCAGTTAGCACTGAATTTAGTCAATTTATTCTGGTGTCCATGGAAGATGCATCTTTTGCTATAGGAAAAAAAAGACTGCTCTAGAAGTTTCCTCTCTTACGCATATTTTTAGCGTAATCTTCCAGGCTTTCAGCAAAAATAAACCTGGACTTCCAACATCTATGAGATCAATATAGGACCCGCTGTGCTGCCATTAATCAGGTTTTGGTAGTAGGTTGTGCATAAACTGTCTGCATTAGCTCGATTTATAAAAAGTAGTGGATTTTAGGTGATAAAGCAAACACTGGAAAAATACACAGCAGAATTAGATGACCTGTTTTTTCGCTTCAGCAGAAGTCTTCATGTCCTTCACTGTAAAATCACCAACTTCCTTGTTTCCAAACTGAATTTTTTCCAGCCTAGCTGGTGGTTTCTTCAATGTCTTTTCCAGGGCATCTCTCTGTAGAGACATTAAAAGCTTTCAGCAGAGTGTATTTTGATGTTGGGGTGACGCTCTGCTGCTTGCCTTCTGCTTGTTTTTTGTTTTTCATGCATGGCGGTGATGGACTCTGATACCAATGAAAGCCTAGAAATAATGATGTGCTAATAACCTCAGTGCTCACTCGGGAGTGAATGTTGTCTGCAGTGAGAATTCCCCTTTTCTGCTGAGTGATGTGTCTGTGAAGCTTGCAATGTTGCTGTATGCCCAGCAGATGTGGGGATTTGGTAATGAGGCCCTAAGTATTTAGGGAATTACTTTATTGCTGCTGAAGACATTTAAGAATGGTTTTGTTAGAGCTTCGTAATCATGATACTGCTAGCCTCTGCTGCATACAAATGAGCAGCCCAACCCTAGAGCTCTGCTGCTGAGGGTAGCACTTACTCCTGGAAAGATGCGGTGATGATTTGATCAGCCAGGAGGCTGAATTCTACCGTTTTCTGTAAGATAAGCAGTTCTAGCAGTGTTAAACCCACACCAAGGACCTGGGGTTGAAATAATCACTATCTTGTTACAAGTCTCCCGAGTTATCTGCTCCCCAGACTTTTATTGCCATAAATAACTCTAGAAGTCAGGCCTCACTGCCAGAAGTGTTAAGTGCTGCAAATAGTATAGAAGATGACTCATTTAGTGAGATGAAGGTGGAGTATGAATCAGTAGGAAGAAAACTGATATACAAAGGAGACGTTTTGAATGCAGATGACACAAAAAATCTGAACAAAGCAATGTTCAGTCATCATAAAAATGAAACAAAAGACTTTTGAAAAAGAAAAAAGAAAGAAACTCTTCTATCTAATGACAAAGGTCATTCTAGCAAAAGCCCAAAGTGGGAAGGTATTGCATACTGAGCATGTCATTCCTTACCCAAGATAAACTGCGGACTGCATAGGAGAGAGATGAATGGAAAATTCTTCCCAATATGTCTGAGCTAAACAGAGTATTTAGCAAGCAGGTTGCTTTCCGGATTGTTCTGTGTCTTTATAAACTGAGAAAAGAACTTTGAGCTAAACGGTTTTGGGAAATCAAGAGTCCTCATAGCTTCAATGAACCCACACTGAAAGCTAACGGCAATGGAAATGCTAAAATAATAACCTGTGCACATCCCTTGTAAATGATAGCTCATGATAAGTGGATAAAATTCCCATAGACTGTTCCATTTGAAACTACAGCTTTTGGTCCTTTTGCTTGCCCTCTAGCTCACACACATAGGAGTGCCTTTAAAGGTAGACTTGGAAAAAAGGTACCTGTAGACGATATCCTACAGCTGCTGGTGCACTAATGAACTAAAGCATCCAGCGCTGCCTATAGTTCAATTCCTGCCACTTCTTGGGAAGTAGGGGTGTTCACTAAGAGCTTAATGTAACTCTTCGGGGGTGAGGATTAAACATTTCCACATTTGTCATCAGCTAGGGTTCTTTGGACATTAGGAAAAGGTTCTTCACTGAGGGGGTGCTGGTCACTGGGACAGGCTCCCCAGGGCAGTGGTCGTGGCACCAAGCCTGTCAGAGTTCAAGGAGCATCTGAACGATGCTCTTAGTCATATGGTTTAGTTTTAGGTAGTCCTGTGAGGAGCAGGGAGTTGGACTCGATGATCCTTATGGGTCCCTTCCAACTTGAGATATTCTATGATTCTATACAATCTTTTTGAAGCACTGGAGGGGAAAAATAGCAGTTACTCCCCCCCCATGCTGAAATGTAATCATGCAAAGAACCCTAGATACCTGTATCTTAGGTGGAAGCTCTGTCTCTACTGGCATTTTTAGTAAGAGCCACTGTCTGGAGATGATGGGTAATGCTGCCAAGGCTTAAGGGATGCAGATACTTATATGGAGCAAAACCATGCACAGGAAGGGAAAGCTCTTGCAAGGATATCTCTGTCTCCAATAGTATTGCAAAAATAATCTCAGACCTGGTTGTACTTGTCTTTCATAGTGCTGTGAGGTCTGTGAGTTCATTTCTTCACTGAAGCTAGTGCTGGACTGAAATTTGATGTAAAGCTATTCATGCTTATTCCTGGTCAATTCCAAAACTTCAGATGTGAATTTACCTGTGTGTTAATGCTCGAAATCCAGAGCTGCATGTTGTAATTTGGAATATGTCTGGGTAATAAACCTTTTCTACTGTGTCTGTGTTCAGTGCCTTTAGTCCCTCTATTCATAGGTAATCTGCTGGATTTGAGCTCTAATGGAATAAATTTTCTATTGCTACTAAGGGACAGCTAAGAATTAACAGCTAGTGACAGATTTATGTTGTCACTTGTAGGTTACCCAGCAGTGGGCCCAGCTCAAATGTAAAACATCACTTGGAAAAGTTGGCTTTGTTAGTGACAAGTATGAAGTTCATTTTTAAAAGCTGTACTGATTTTAAGACAAAAATCCTCCTATTGGGAGGGTAGAAATTCTCTAATGAGAAATAGCACAGACTGAGTTTCTGTCAGTAAAGGAGTATGTGTATTTTAACACCAGACAGCTTTTTAATACAGGAGGAAAAAAAGAACAGACACTCGCCTATCTTACAAAGGGGAAAAATACAGAAGCCTGCCTGCAGTATGTTACCTAAATTTAGCCACAGAGTGGATAATCCTCTCGGACACTCAAAAAATCTGTCTGAGGGAAGTAAGTAAAGGCTATGGAGATGCTGTACTCAGACCCTCCAGACCCATTTTCCAAAGTGCTGGCAATAGGAAATGTGTTAGGCAGCACCAGTGGCCCGGCTGTAAGGTGGCACTTGCTTGTTTAGTCCTTCTTGCAAAAGTTTCTATTTGATCTTCAATAATATAAGTGGCCAAGGTTAGAGATGTGTGAATGGCTTGCCTCAAATGACAAAGCCACTCAGAATCATCCTTGGTTTGAGCTTGAATTGTGCTGTGTCCAAGCAGTGGTGGGATGGTGCTTTGGGTGATACATATCCACAAATGCATTAAACTTCTTACAAACTCCCTGAAGACCTTCTCCCTCCTGATGTCTGTACTGGAAACCCTATCTGGAAGAGGCATCTGATCCTTAACACAATGCTCGACAACAAAGAATGAGCTTGAGTTCAGAAACCAAAATAAACCTCAGGTTGTCATTGAGAAGGAAAAGAAAACAGACACTGGCTCCTTAGTCAAATACTAGTTCTTTAATTTTTTTAAAAATCTATTTTGTAATGGTTTCTTAGTCTGAGATTGAATGTGAATAGTAGATTTCTCGAAGTGTGAATATTTAGGATTTCTGAGGTCTTCATTTAAGTGTGACTCTAAGTCCTGACAGCAGTATTTCTTCTAGTTTTGTGGACTTGAGAAACACGTTTGTGGCATGTAACTTCCGCTGAGTTTTTCAAAGAGCAAGTTCTTAGTACTCTTGCTGTCTCCTTTGTCGCTATTTGAAACAAGCCTGGAAGCTGTAAACAACTGAAAACAAACTGCTGCCAGCTTCCGTTGTATTAACATCCCCATAATACAGTTGTCCGTTGTTTAACAACTTGCTTCTAAATCTAAATGGATACTTTGCATGTGCAGAAACCGAATCTCAGGGTGCTCGCAGCAGGGTCAGAGCTGTGGGAGGGGTCCTGCCTCATATAATGACACTTACCTTGTTTTCATACGCTTCTCCAGTCCTGGCAGTGGTACTTTTGCTCTTGATTGCTCCCTGCATCCTCAGCTCCTCAAGAATGTCTGATGATTTTTGCCTCTCTGTTTCCTGTAAGGGCCGTGATTTACTGGTGAACTCGCTGGTGAGCAGTGCGTCTTCAAAAGATAAAAACATTAAAACTTAATACTTGTAGAGCACTTGGCGTTCAAACAAAACTTCACGATATATTTCCAATGCCGGAGTTTTTATTTAAAAGTATTTAAGTATATATTTATACTGAGAACGTCTGGTGGAGAAGGCCTGCTTGAGGCTTTTTTCAATGCTTAAACTTTTCAAGCCGCTAAAAAGCTTACTGCAAAACGGTGCAGGCGCCTAGTGCAGTCTCTTACCCCAGTCAGTTACACCCAGAGGGGCACATTCAAGAAAGTATGGAAGCATGTGCTGAAGGCCTGTGAAGCTGATTTTTTGAGCATGTTCCCAAAGAGGGTCCATAGGGAGCTCTTTACAGTTCAGGTTCTCAAGGGTCCTGTGGTCTGGTCAGAGAAAGCCAGGCTGGGACGAGACAGTACAAGCCTACTAATGGGCCGTCTTGTAAAGATCACTGTGCTCTTCTGTTAAATGAACCCAAACTTTCATATGCTTTCATGGTCTATGATTTTTGTTGTAACAGCGTTGCTACATTTGAGTCTGATCATAAGCATTCCAACACTTAAGTATATACTTATAAACAGCAATTAAGAATAAAAACCAAATTATTTTGATAACCCTTGCGAGTGGTTGTTTAGTTTCCGCATGTTAGACATGAATAAACGACGAGCAACTTTATTGCCAGGACCCATCGGGTTTTTCAGCCCTCAGCTGACAGTTCTACCATCAGCCCAACCTCTGTTGGCAGAAGATAGAGCTTTTGTATGAAGAATGCTTGGTCCAAATCAAAATCGCAGTTATTTGACATCTGCCAGTCTTTACAAGCAGAGTGGTTATGACAACGTTGGCTTGTTTTTTAGTTGTAAAACAAAAATACAGAACATCTACGATCTTGTAGAAGCTGACGCCATACCTCTCCTAAAATAACTGAACCAGTCACCCAAAAAGCACGGGGGTTCAGCTGTCAGTCAGAACATGTAAATGTCAGAAGCCAGTATACAGCAAAACGTATCTTGGCAAAAAATAAAAGCATGGTGAGTGGGCAACGTTGACAAGTGATGTGGATTTGTATTGGTTTTACTAATCTATTCATTCAGGAGAAAAATGTAGTTGAAATATCTTGGTGTGGTATGGGTTTTTTTGTCTTGAAATAGAAGATTGAAGCATGATTTCAAAAACTTTGTTTAGAAATTTCCTGTGAAGTTATCTTCTAGCAAGTGGGAGGAAAAGGAGCTTGAAATTAAATGAAACATGCTATTTCAGACTAGCAAACAATTTTGTTCAATCTGAAATGAAATCTTTTCATCATGTCCTTCTGTGGCATTGGGAGTTAAGTCCTCTTTAATGAATAGCAAACACCAGTAATTATTCCTTTTGTGTTCAATTTGAAATATTTTATTGCAACCCTTGTTTATTACAAAGAGTAAACAACCACTGTAGATTTTTCATTTAGTGTGTTTGTGAAATGTAAGCTGTTCATGGCACTTGAAAAATACAAGAGTTAAACTACTAAATTAGGGGATTTAAATGCACTAAAGATGGTGCTGCTTTTCCATTAGCAACTCTTACTACAATGGTGTCCCAAGATTATAGAAAAGTTTGGGTTTAAGTGTTCACTTGTAATTAAAAAAAAATTCTTAGTAGACCTTTGCTTATCATCATGACAATTTCTGGAATTTTTAGAGTTTTCTCTATATGATAACTGGCCCTGCAACTTTTGGTTGCAAACTTAAGGAATAACGTGGTATTTACTTACTCTCGCTACCTGATGCTAGTCAGGGGCATTGTATTAGCCATGCTGTTGTAAAAACTGACTCACTGTAACAGCAGACTGACAGCCGTCATGCGGGCAATGCGTCTTCCCAGTGTGCCATAATCCCAGTTAGAGAGTGCTACCCCCGGCGGACAAGGCTGAGTTTGTTCTCTTGGTCTGTTCCAGGCGTCTGCCAGGAAAGGTATCTACCCTGCCGCCTGTTCTGGTAGTGAGGGTTGAGTCATGCTGTAGAACATAATCATCAGCTAGGAAATACTTTCTGCTACTATTGCATGCTTTTAAACCAGTGCTACGAGCTCAGTCTGTGCAGTGTCACAGCATGAACGTTTCTGGGTATAGAAGTTGGCTGTAGCAATAGACTCTCAAGATTATTTGCTCCTAGGTCTCCATTTGTGGAGCTGGTATGAACTTCAATTACTGTTTACCTGTGCTTTGTGCATTGTTGCTTTTCTGAGAAGATGTAAATCTTTCTGGTAGTTCTTTAGGGGAGTCTCCCTCACTGGTCTCATCTTCAAGTTTGGCTCCATTCTTTGAAGTGCCTGTTGGCCAAGCTGCCCTATCCTGCGAGGGGACGGCCTCTGTTCCAGCAATGCTGTCATTTTTAGTCTACAAAAAAAAAAATGAAGAAGCAAATGAGAAAAGCTCCTTGGGCTTCTAAACATTTAAGGTGGTATCTAGAATAGTCCCATAGAATTGGCAGGTTCCGAGTGGAGTGGAAGATGGAGGCCTTCCTGCTACCTATCCATGTTCTGTCACAGGTGGATGTTGATGGAGAGGAAAGGTCTCTTGGAGCGTTTTGGAAAGGAAGCAATGATCTTGAGCCTAAATGTGTCCGTAATCCAGTTGACTATATTGGAGTATTGTTTCAGTACTTTAAGTGCCTTCTGTATGTGGATCATTGGTTAGAAATTTAAAACTAAGTTTTAAAACTTAGTTTTAAACTGAGTTTTAAATTAGCACTTGGTAAGGTGTTAACCTGCTCACCTTCTAAACAATAGCTTTGAACCTCCAAAGAATGCAAGATTAGAGCCTAGATGCATTCTTGTCTCTTCTCTGTATGTCTGGGCTTGAGCCAATGCAACTCTGCAAACTTCACAAAGTGGCTGTGCATCCTATAATATTTGCATATATACAAGCCCCCGACCTCATAGTAACTTTTTGAGGCAAAAAACCCACCTTGCTGCAGTGTTGTAATTAATCACTGGTGTGGAAGATAAGTGCCTCTAATTGTATCTTTAACGAGGCAACTGAGACAGACTGTGAAAAGTGACTTTTCAGGTGCTGTGAAATCAGGTCATGCGTGCGGCCAAATGGTGAGTCTGCTTCCCCTGCAGCTTAAGGGTTGTATTAAGCTGAGTGAGTGAGAGCCCTTCTCTTAAAGAGCTCCCTGGCAGTTTCAGAGCTACCGTTAACGTCAGCAAAACCATTTCTCTGTATGCATATGTCCTCGTACGCTCGCATGCTAAGACATCTCCTAACATACTTTGTACAGAGTCTGTTTGGAAGAAGTTGCTACCTGGTTTTTGGCTTCCTGGTTCTTCTGTAGCTCCTCAGAAGACAGCTGTGCGACACCGACCCTGTTAGAAATATTGCAGCCCATGATGAGACTGGGACCATCTGCTTCTCCTTGCTGCAAGTCCAGGGAGTAGGAATGCCCTAGTCTTTTCCTTGGGAGCTTGGTTATTCGCTATCACCATGGAGTCCAATCGTTGCCAGGGCCTGTTGCTACAATAAATAACACCACAGAAGGCTTTCTTCTTATGTCCTGGCATACAGACTTCATTGTCTTTGTCCAGGCACCCTCATCTGAAGTTGAGAGGGAATGTGGTTCTTCTGCACAGCTGGGGTGTTGGTCTGAGAGCAGCGAATCTCTACAGGTCATTCAGGGTGTTAGTGAACCTCCTGTGGGAACTCGAGCAAAGACACTTGAGCATCTCTATCACCCCTGGTGGCAACACGAAAAAACAACCTTGATCTCCTTTTGTTTTTTTTTTTTTTTTTTTTTTTTTTTTTTTTTTAAGATGAACACGATCCTGTCATGTAAAATACATGAATATTTCAGTCTCTGGTTGGATTTCTTAAGTCTTCTTCAGCACCATTAGCAATTGGAACAGATCACTCCTAAGTGTGGAATTCCAAGCAACAAGGCAAACTTTTACATGGGAGGAAATGTAATCAGGAGACAGCGACAGGCTGTGACTAGGGAAAATGTTTTAAGCGTCCTTTGAAATCATTGTACAATTTCTTGATTACTGTTTGAGTCTTTTCACATGCTTAGAAGTAGATGTCTGTAGGAGATTTAATTTTTTTTTTTTTTTAAAAAAGCAGCCACGGTTTATACTTCTAAGAGGTTGTTATAAAAGATAGCAGAGAAATGTTAAGGCAGTGCTGTCGGTTGAAGATCATAACTGGTTGTGTCTTGGGTTACTTGTGCTGAGATCATCAGCTGTTACAGTTAGAAGAAATTGTTTTTTCACAAATATTCACATGAAATTAACTCTTTGTATGAAATTGAAAGATTAAAAAAACCCAAGTAATTATTAACACCTATGAGGAATTATTATTTTTTTAACTTCCTGAGACCCTGGTAACAAATGAATGTCAGCTTGTGACCTTACCCTGATTCGTAGTGCAAAACTTTCTGTAAAACATGCCAAATTTCTTTTCCCTATATGTGAAACGGAGATGTTTACGTGACTAATGCGTCTTTCAAGTGGTCGGGCTGGTGAACTTTCAGAATCAAATGAACCCCGACACTGAGACAGAGTGACTCCAGCCTAAGAGGTCACTCCGGATGGATGGCTGCAGGCAGCTCTGCGTGTTCCTCTTGTCTCCAGTCCAAACCCTTAGCTGGTCTGTTTGGAAAGCTGAATAAACTCATTTGCATGGCATGAGCGAGCCTGAAGTGATCTTCCCTGCCTCAGTCTGCCTTATTTGGCTGCGCAAAGCACCGCCCTAAGGTTACTGTATGGGTTCCAGGTTGTAGCTAGCATCTCTAGCTAGCATCTCTGCCCAGCTCAGAGCGCATGCGGGTGACTGTACCTACCCGTGCTGGCATCCAAGAGCGGCAAGGAACTCCCAAAGGTGCATCTACTGTCTCTTGAGGAAACACGTATCTTCCAAGAAGTTTTGTTGTTTTTTTCATCCCGAATCAACAGGGACTTGATTCTTGTGTCCATTTTGAATTCACACAGAATGCAAATCAAATAAGCTTTGGGGGGGGGCTTTTGTTGTTGTTGCTGTCTTATTTTTTCTCTTTAGCAGATGTTTGCAAGTTGTATGTGATAATGCTGAAAGATGATTGCTGCTTGACGTATGGCAGAACATGATGTACAGGCTGGGCTTCTTGTTGCATTTCTGATTAAACACTTGCTGTGATGGTGCAGTTCTAAAACTTGTTTATAAGTAAATAATAGGTGAAGTTTCAATCCTTGCAAAAAGGTGATTTTTATTTTTTCCTTCAAACACAAATAAGGTGATAAAATGGAAACAATGTCAGTTATCAAAGTAAGAAAATTGGTTAAATGTAAAATCATAGGCTGTAGCATAATCAAAAACCAGGTAAGCTTTATAGCTAATGCTTTACAAATTGGTTATTGCCACATAAGAAGAAAGACAAGTGATAGTTTGAAGAGATAAGAGTACACGGAATATAACAAGTGGCATGAAAGTGGCCCTCATTCATATTTATGAAAAGAACCTTCTCGGATCTCAACAGAATTTGTACACTTAGAGCCTGATCTTTTAATATCTTATGCACATGATTAAACTGACATGGTGAAGAGTATGGTTTTGAACAATTGGAGCTACAGGGTTTCAAGAGCAGACTGCTCTCACACTGATGCTGAGTGATGATAGAAAATCTTCCTCTCATTTTAGCAGCTTTTCATCAATCTGTAAAATTAAGAATGAGCAAGCTGCAGTACAGTCAAGGCACCAGGATGTGTGGTGTTGGTTGAAAAAATAGAGAATAATTCTTCATAAATACAAATATAGGATATTTCCCTTTAAGAAAACCCATGGAAGAGAGCCTATGTGAAGCACAACATTGAAACTGGAGAGAAAGAGGAGCTGTGAGAAAGCTGGTAATGGTGGGAAGGGGAAAAAAGTGCAGGTCTCTTTATGCCTTGTCTTGTGAGAATGAAAACAAAAGCCAGTCACAAGGATGTGCATGCTGGGGAAAAAAATCACTACAAAATCAGAAACAGCTGCTTCTATAATTGCTGGTGTTATGTGGAGGAAATTGGAATGTACGTATATTTTAAAATGGGCAGAGTTGTTTTCAAAACTCTAAGATCTGAAGCTGTTTGGTGGCTTGCAGGATGATTAGGAAAACTGAATGGGAGGCAGGACATCTTGGTGCCTACAACCTTATCAGCTGTCTCTGATTTATGCTCCTAAATTAGTGAGCTACTGCAGAGAGGTGAGAAAAGGACTATCTGTGGAATGGCATTCCTGATACACAGCAACACTTTGCTGGTCTCAGTCAGTGAAAGATTCCCATGTAGTATCACCAGCCTGACATGTACGCAGATACAAAGTGCTCTCCTAAGGCTTGGAGGCTGGCTGAAGTTATTAACAAAACAAGGCCTGGCTGATTTGAAGGAGAGAGGCAAATTTCTGACATTTTTAGTCTGGCAACATTCCTACTGACTTTGAACAACAGAAAGCGACAGGGTGGATTTTCCAGGGACTCTGAGCAGCCACGTTTCTCTTTGAAAATAGAACTGAATAGTTGGGCAGCTGCAGAAGAAGTGCCCTGATTATTAGTGAGCACAAGTAGCTGTTTGAGGGAGAGTTGGAGGCCAAAAGGACTCTGAAAGACTGCAGCCCATACCGTGCCTGAAGATGGAAAAGGGTGCCCATTTTCCCTGTGCTCTGGTGACTGTCCCCCGGGGTGCTGCCACAGTCCTGAGGAGGAAGGTGTCTGCTAGAGACATGGGTGATGGAGTGGAGGGGAAAAAAATCCACCCCAGGAGATGGGGGCTGCAGCTGGGGTTGGGTCTGGAGGCTGGTGGGCATGGCAGCCAAGGAGTGAGCTGAGCTGCGGAGTGGGCAGAGGGAAGGGGTAGGGAGGGAGATGCGGAGGTGGGCCTGGCTACGTAAGGTGGCTGGAAACTAGAGACACTGGACACGGACTGAAACTGAGAAACTTTGCAACTGAATCTCTTCTCCCTACTAACAAGCGATAGGATGAGAGGAAACGGCCTCAAGCTGCGCCAGGGGAAGTTTAGGTTGGATGTTAGGAAAAACTTCCTCACTGGAGGGGTAGTCAGGCACTGGAACAGGCTGCCCAGGGACGTGGTTGAGTCTCCATCCCTGGAGGTATTTAAAAGATGGGTAGACGTGGTGCTCAAGGATGTGGTTTAGTGATGGACTTGGCAGTGCTAGGTTAACAGTTGGACTTGATGATCTTAAGGGTCTTTTCAACCTCAACGATTCTATGATTCTATGAAGTCAAAGCTTCTGCAGACTGTGTGACAACTGCTGCGCTTCAAAGACTGGTTGCTTAGCTAAATCAACTGCGGTTTTCTTCTATTCCCAATTCAAAATCTTACCTGGGTGGTAGTGGATAAATTTGTCAGAGCTTCCATGTCAGGCTCTAGGTACCTCCCAGATGGGCTAAACAGCTTGCAGAGCTGGCCTTTAATGTGGAGCCTGCGTTTTGATGTACAGCTTAATATTTGTAAGACTGGGAAGGGGAAGATGGCTAGAAGGGGAGCCACTGACTGGGTGGCCGTGGTCAATGGAGAGCTGACTTTTGGTTGCGCAGTGCTAAACCAGCTCCGCGGCTGGCTCTCTTTTGTATGTGTGTTGTATTTCAGTGCTGCATGTGATCCAAATGCTGTACGTAATCTCTCCATGGTGACTGCACAGCATTTGTTTCTATTTAAGGAGCGAAAGAGGTTTGGGTTTTCTGCCAGAATTCCCACTCAGGTAATTACACTTCTGCCTGCAGAATTTCCCCGTAGCTTCAATTGTAGTAGCTGTTCTTCACTCCCGCTCCTAAAAAGTGCAAACACGGACCCGCTGCTGTGTTTTGGGAATGCAGCAGTGGTTGCTCTGCTCAGGCAAGTGAAGTGACCCTGCCATGCATCATTTATGCTAGATTTGCCCCCAGTAGAGCGCTGCATCCAAGCACGCTACTCTGCAGCTCTCATCTTTCTGTGCCTGGCTTTGGCATAACAAGTTGGTCTTGCTAGTGATACTGCTAGATGATAGTGAGACAGCCAGCTGGAAGCCAATGAAAAGATGATTAAGAGCCAAGAGAAAACCATATGGAGAGAGAGGGATTTCTCTTTACAGAGTTATAAGTAAAAGTGTTTATGTCTTTGGATCCCACTAGCTGTTTTTTCCCTTCTTTGCATCAGTTTTATGGGTGGGAAGTGGTTGCAGTTGATTAGCAAATTCTATCAAATCTCTTTAGCTAGAACAAATGTTGTAAACAGTAGATGTTTCAGGCAGCTCTGTCAGTACTAAAAATCAACAGGGCAACATTGTAATGGTAATAACAAATATTTAATAGTTATTAGGCTAATGTTAACTACAACATTACATAGGATACCAACATTTATAAACAGTATTGTTTTGCAGAATATG